GCAGGATTATAAAAAAAGCTCTCCGTCCCTATCTCCACTTGGATGGCATGGCTGTTCCCTGCTCCTCCTTCCTCCTCATCTAATATTTTGCCTTCAGACACATTTTCAGTGTGTTCCTCTGGCTGCGACCTATCACTTTCACAGCTTCCCACACCTGTGTACCAAACGCTTTGCTTGATCTCCACCTCTGCCTTTGCCTCCTGAGGTGTACCTGAGCTTTCCACCAGCCATTCTGCTTGTGCCATATTGCAGGCCCCCTCAGACACATTCACTAAATTCATACCATCTGTCCCCAAACTAGATGAAGATGGCTGGTCCTCCTTGAACTCTGTGCATTCTGCTGCATCTTTATTCATCATTGTCTGGCTCACTTGAATTTCTGTTGCAGCCATTTCGCTCATCTCGTCATTCCCTTTATTGTGCTCTTGAAACTTTAATATCTCACCTTCACAAACCTCCTTTATGTTCTCAGGTGGAGTATCTGCTGGTATCTCAACTGTTACCATCAGCAAACTCCTTATCTCATTCACATCATCAGGGGATTTACAACTCTTTTCTTCTGACTTGCTTTCTTTTTCAAGATTATCCCCAAACCCTCCATTCCCTGTGTTTTCATTCTGGGAAACAACCCTTGTCTCAGTACTTGCTCCTTGGTCATTGCTTTCTTTTCTACTATCCTCTTCAAACCCTGTTCCTACTGCATTTTCACTCTGAGGTAATTTTTCCATAATTTCTTTTTCTACCTTGATTTTCTTTTCAGAATTTCTTAAAATCTCCGCTTCTGCTACATTATCATGTGGGGAAGTAAGCTTTATCTCAGAAACTTCTTCCTGAAGTTCTTTTTCAGGGCTGCCTCCAAAATCTTTCACTGCAGTTCCAGTCCCAGAAGCTACTTTTTCCTCCACAGCTTCTTGTTGTGTCTTAAGCTCTTTCTGAGCGTTCACTACACACTCTGCTTTCACTGTGTCTTCATTCTGCAAAGCGCTTTTTTCCTCTGCAACTTCTTGTTTTGTAAGGGTAGCTGAAAGAGACTCCTGTTTTTCGCCAGTGTCTGTAGTGACCACTTCTTCACTTTTGCTCGCCTGATCACCAGCTGTATTAACAGAAGTGACTGCCTCTTTGTCTGATGACTTTCTATCATCAGCATCCTTCTCCCAAGAAATTTTTCCTGTCACAATGAGTGTTTCATCACTTTGAGTTTCAGTGTCTGATATCTCGGCTCGGACAGAGGAAGGCTTCTTCGCAGGAGTGGTTTGTGCTGATCCTGAAGGGGTCTTCAGGTCCGTTAAGCTGGACACACTTTCACAGGGCAAATTCAAGTTATCTTCAAAGAGGTTGTGCTTCTTCATAATGGCAGCTTCTTTTATCACTAAATAAAACAGAAAGATCAAACTGCTTTGGAAAAACTGAGAGGTACATTGAAAAAAGTACAGTGTTTTCCTGAGTTTCTAATGTTGTACATTTTGATGTTAAAAACAACAATAATTTTCATTTCCAACTTGCTTTTACTCTACATTTCTTTTTTTGGGGGTGGGGATTTTATCTGTTTTGAATGATGGAACTTCAATATTGTCCTAAGCGTTGTTGTAATAGAAAACTACCAGAGGACCTGCAATGCGCAAAGGTAATGTTTCAATGCAGAAGTATTTACACTGAATATATGAATAAAAGTGTGCTCATTACATTAATTATTATACTGTTATTTTTGAACAGGAGTGCCAAAGAGGAGTTATCAAAACTTATTGTGCAATAGAAAAGTTTGTTTTGTATCCGGGGTACAGACAGAGAGATACAAGTACTCTATATATTTATATATACCATCAAGAACAGTTCAGTTTTCCAACACAAAAGCAGAGAGATTTGCAGGGAGTACTGCACTGGCATCGGTGATGTACTGGAAACTGCATGCAGCAGTACATTTCATTTGGGGAAATTAATTTTTGCTGCCATTAGATATCACCAAGTCTTTGCAAATAAAAGCATAATTTCACTCCTTGGCCCAGGAAATCAAGATAAAATGAAGCTGGCATAATTACATTTTGTTAGAAATAGAGAAATAGGCTTGTGCCAAGCTATTACTTTGAATTTGCCAGGTTTAATAAAGTTGCCCCATAATTCAGGTTTTAGGGCTTGCCATACATCTTTAATAAGCTGAATCCAAACACTGTAGCATTGTAACCACCAGTATTCGGGAAAGTGGGATCTGGGTCTGAAACAACCACGTTGGGACTCTGGGAAGCTCTGAAGCAAGAGCTCACCAGCCAACAGCCGAAATGTTATTACTGTCACTTCAAGAATGGTCTCACCTTTCAGGGTTTCTTCAAGCAGTGTCTGATACAAAATCTCTTCATACACATTCTCTACTTGGATCACGCTAGTGTAATCAGCAAAAATGAACTGCTCATATTTCTGCAGCTCCTGTGCAGACAGAGAAGAAAGGAACAGATATATAAAAATGAGAGATTTTGAGAGTCCTACTTCAACAGAGCACCTTGGAGATGCTATCTAGCAAGTCTTGCAATGCTCCTTGCTGGTTCTTGAGGAGAACTATCTGAACTATGACTAAATGAACTATAGATGTTCACAACTTATTATGCACTTATCAAACAGTATTCTTGCACTATAATTACATTTAAAAGCACTATAGATCATTGCCATCTGCACTATAATAAACAATTCTGAAATAAATTGCTGGTGAGGAAAAGCCTCACTCACTGTTTGTCCAAGGAGGCAAATCCGTGGCGAGCACTGGAGATACAGGGTTTGGGTTTGTTTTCCTAATAGGTGTGTAGCATTTTCAGCTTACTGATTTATATGCATTTGGCTGTCTAGACAATAATTGAGTCATTATCAGTAAGCAGCTGCTTTGTGCTCTATAAAAAGTAAATTAAGAGACCTCTGCCCACGTCTAGAAGAGATGTCTACATACAAACATCTGGAGGTTTTCAAGTAAAAGGTCAAGACTTGACTGGGCATGTCAGCTGTGCCACACATTTGCTTCTCAAGCTGGCTGCTCATTTCTGCAGAGGCACAAACACAAAAGGCTTGTGGGAAATTAAACAGAAAGGGCTTGTGGAATTTTGCACCGCCACTGCTTCCTCCATCCTGTATGACAGAGACATGATGTGGGACTCCACCCTCTCTCTATATATTCAAGGTGATGAAATGCTTGCCCTTCTGTGTAGACACCACATCTTGAAGGCACTGCTCTCTACAAGAAACTCTACAAGAAACAATTATTTTGGGAATAGTAAAGGAAGTAGACTGACATACAGAAGAGAGTGATTTCAATTATATTTTTGAAAGTTGCAAGTTTTAATAATCCATACTCAAAGACTCGCAAGCATAACTTGGCAAAACACTTGCTTTTAAAATTGTTTTTAAAGCTGAAACAAGCTGGAAAGCATCAGCAAGAGCAGCACACCGTGGGTGAGAGCTTACAGCCTCTGAGAACTGATGAACATCCAAGGAAACAAAAGGGGAGAGAGGCTGGAATGGCTTAGGGCAGTCATCTTCCAGGAGGTACAGTGAAAATGCAAGAGGATATGTATGGGCTTTAAGAAGGGCACATACTATTTATTTTGAGCCAAGGTGAACAGCATTCCAACTGGCCCCTGATGCAGCCACACTGATTACATCTCCACGAAACTCTGGTAGCCGCATTTGCTGAGTACTAACCTACCCGTGTGATTACGGGCAACAGAGATTGCCTCTGCATGTTTGTTTCCTGATTGCTGATGCAATTACTTCCATTTAAAATCACTGAAAGCAAGTGCACGGCCTGTCTGCTTGCTGCTCCTGCTGCCCAAGCACGCATTTGGCTTTGAAGGAGGTTGTCAGCAGAGGTTGTGTGTGGTCACAGCCATGCCTTGGGGTGCTGCTGAAGAGGAAAGTACCCTCTCCCACAGACTGAATTTCAGCCTCCAGCAGGGCTGCTGAACACAAGGACAAGTTCACAACCTACAGTTGTAGCTGTCAAAAGGAGTCCAGTTTGAGGGGACTTCAGATCTCTAAGGAAGATATGAAATGGAGATGGGCAAAGGTCTGCAGCAATCTTTGAGAAAGCAAGCTGCATGTACAGTTTCCCTGTTTCCTGAAATCTTCCTTATGCTCCACATTTACCCAATCCATGCACTGGCAAATCTGTGTCATCTGGCCAAGCAGGCAGCCATTCCGCACAACTCCCCGAGAAAAAACAGCTTTACAAAGTTGGGGATTTACTGCCAAGGTGTTAATCCTTCCCTGCCTTTTATTATTGTGTGAGGTTTTTTAATCACAGAAACCTACTGGTTTGCACGTTGCAGCCAGTGTCTTCTGCATTGTGGGCAAAGTAATCTGTACCAGTGCTTCTTGAAATATCTTCTTCCGGATAGTGCTGCTGTCATAATCATATTGCTGTGAAAACAGACAAAACGAGAATCAAGCCCAAACGTGTTTGGGGTTATTAATCACTCATGGGAGGAACTGGTTCTTGTTAACTTGTAACTGGTGATGGGTGAATCCCAAAGGATACCACATCATAGGCACAATCAGGGGTTTGAATTCCCCATGCAGGTTATTTCAGCTTATACAAAAATTTCCTAAAATCCGTTTTTCTGGGATCTCTTTCCCGTCATTTTTTTCTGCCTAGGTGAGAAACAGCCCCCTGATTGCTCTCTCCATGTATTATCAGCACTGCCTCTTCTGAGAACAAGAAATTCTAGGGGAGGCTAATTATAAGTTAATAAAAAATTATCTCCAGCTGATTTAATTGCAGTTAAAAGGACTGCACATGTAAATACTTTTACAAGCGTCTGCCCAGAACTAGGTTTTACCCCCAGAATAAGCAGCTTTGTTAAGTGCCACCAAATCAGTATTTCCAGCTGGATGGTAAGAGGTATCTTCTTTCAAATACTGAGATTAATTCACATAAAATATATTCTCTGTTTCTGAAAAGGCAGAAGCCAAGGTCTTCCTGTGCAAATGCTGCAACGTTTACCTTCAGTACTCTCAGCTTGACCTTCTCAATGCTTGTTGCAACTTTCGCTGGGTCTGCCTGGTGACTTGGAGAGAACAGCTGCTCAAAAGTATAAACTGCATTTTCCATCAGCTAAAAATAATAATTAAAAAAAATCTGTTAAAGAGCAGTAACATAAAATTCCTACAGGCATAAAGAAGCACGACAAATGTAACCATTAACTTAAATTGTATTTTTGAGATGGTGAAATGGAGAAAGAATAATCAGCCTAAAATCAATAAATATTCCAAGTACTTCAAATTACTGTGGAAGGGGAAGAAAAGCCTTGTTTAGTTTAGATTGCAACGCTCAGTTTTGGAATGGAAAACCAAAAAGATGATTACCTAATGCAAGAGAATAAGAAAATGAAACTACCTCAACTTCTGTCTTGAGTTTACAGGCCGGTCAATACTAGGAAGTCTGCTAACGTAACTAAACAAATAGTTATATCAGCAAACCTACTCAGAGTAGATTCATTTATATTGTCCAAAAGTTTTGTGCAGTATCTCAGTTCTCTGAAGGTTAATGTGCACAGCAATGCTGCAATAAATAAAGAAAATTAAGCCTTGTTATCATTATTATGCTATCATAGCTTTCTTATATAGATTTAATCTCATGTCACCATCCCAATTGATGGTGACAAAGACAAAAAGTAGAATCGATCATCCATACATAAAGGCCATAGACAAAACTCATTATCCCTAATAAGAAGAATCCCATTGACTCCTACCAGATTCTAATGGTCTTAACCATTAATACTGGAGATAATTTTTTTAAATGTACTTAATCGGTAGCTTTCCTTATAATACAAATAATTATCAGCAAAAATTGCACAGAGTGCAATAATTTCTCACAGAATAATGTTAGGCTGGCATTTGACATGTTTTCAGGCTGTCGAGAGATTCATTAAAAATATTGAACTACCTACTCTGAAAAGATATTTCAGAAAAACAGTTCTGCAAGCAGTTATTATGTCTCCTTATGAGGTTTTGCCTTCTTTAGCTAAGCGATTCCATTCAAATTTTACTATATTCTTATTGGAGAAGTACAGGAACGTCCACAGAGAGGCTATCCATACTACCTCGTCTTCCTTTGCATCACATGGGAACATCCCAGCCGATATCCATAGACAGCCATATACTGTAGAAGACTTCTTGTAGTTTGTAAACGAGTATGTACATACTTATGAAGAAGACACGCTTTTAATTCCTCCCTGGCTAGTAATGTTTTCATGAATGAAAATATACAGTGACTAATCCCCAGATTTGTCACGCAGATCCTCCTGGAAACTATGCTAAGACACAAGGAAGTGATTGGTGACAGCCAACATGGCTTCACTAAGGGCAAATTGTGCCTGATAAATTTGGTGGCCTTCTACAACGGTGTTACAGTGTTGTGTCTCTAAATTGAGGAGACGTGTATTTGAGCTGCAGACCACTTGGTGGACAAGGAATTGACTGGATGGTTGCACTCAAGTCAACTCGATGTCTAAGTGGAAACCAGTGACGAGTGGTGTTCCTCAGGGGTCGGGCCTGGGACCAGTGCTGATTAACATCTTTCTTGGTGACATGGACAGTGGGATTGAGTGCATCCTCAGCAAGTTTGCTGATGACACCAAGCTGTGTGGTGTGGTTCACAGGCTGGAGGGGAGGGATGCCATCCAGAGGGACCTGGACAGGCTTGAGAGGTGGGCACATGTGAACCTAATGAAGTTCAACCAGGCCAAGTGCAAGGTCCTGCACCTGGGTTGAGGCAATCCATGCAGAAATACAGGCTGGGCAGAGAATGGATTGAGAGCTGCCCTGAGGAGAAGGACTTGGGAGTGGTGGAGGATGAGATGCTTAACATGATCCAGCAACGTGTGCTTGCAGCCCAGAAAGCAAACCACATCCTGGGCTGCATCAAAAGAAGCGTGGCCAGCAGGTCGAGGGAGGTGATTCTGCCCCTCTACTCTGCTCTGATGAGACCCCACCGGGAGTACTGCGTCCAGCTTTGGAGTCCTCAGCACAAGAAGGACATGGAGCTGTTAGAGCAGGTCCAGAGCATGGCCACAAACATGATCAGAGGGCTGGAACACCTCTCCTATGAAGACAGGCTAAGAAAGTTGGGGTTGTTCAGCCTGGAGAAGAGGAGGCTCTGGGGAGACCTCATAGCAGCCTTCCAGTATCTGAAGGGGCCTACAAGAAAGCTGGAGAGGGAGTTTTTACAAGGGCCTGTAGTGATAGGACAAGGGGTAATGGCTTCAAAGTGGAAGACAGTAGATTCGGATTAGATATCAGGAAGAAGTTTTTCACTGTGAGGGTGGTGAGGCATTGGCACAGGTTGCCTAGAGAAGTTGTGGATGTGCCATTCCTCAAAGTGTTCAAGGCCAGATTGGATGGAGCTTTGAGTAACCTGGTCTAGTGGGAGGTGTCCCTGCCCATTGCAGGGGGGTTGGAACTAGATGATCTTTAAAGTCCCTTCTAACTCTAACCAGTCTATGATTCTATGAAATGTTGATGGCCAATTTTTATAACTGACTTTGCAAATAATGTAAGATTGGACTATACAGACTTTATTTATAAATGTAAATGGATGAGATGGAGGTTTACTCGATTTATGCATGCATCAGTAGGCTGTATCGTAAAGGCTCATGCACTGCAAGACCTTGGATACAAGAAAAAGGATCAGTGTAGAGTTAAGTCTGAGGCTAATTAAAATATTAATTACTCACTTTTTATTTCAATTTTTATTTGAAGTAAATAATAAATTGGAGTAGTTCTGGTGAAGTCACTTAAGCCGTTTATGCCAGTTGAGCATTGTGCTCCCAAATTTCCTGAAATTGGCCACTAGAGGATGCCAAGCTCCCAAGCCAAGGAATCCTGCTCCAGCCTGCACCTGAGTTAGACTTAAGCCAAATGCTTCTTTTACATTAAGACTATGTGAACGTAGATATGTCGGACCTTACTTGTTAATAAAATAAATGTCCATGGACACAAAGTTAAACTACTTACTATTTTTATGCAAAAAATACCAGGCTTTTAAAGAGAGAGAAGCAATAACAGCATTTTTAGAACAACTTGTGCTTTAATTTAACTTATTAGTTGTAAATTTTGATTCATGTTCTGTTCAGAAAAAAAAAAAGCACACTTGGTTTGTATGGGATATATTTTCTGTATACTTCTTTGTCTTGACTCATGGTCTTCACTTATTGAAAGACATTTTATTTGGCAGCATTGTGGAATGGTCCCCCCTGAAAGACCCAGACATGAAATCAGAATTTTATTTCTGAATAATAATTTGGCTGCTGATCATGGCTGTACTTAGAAAAGCTGCTTTTAGTAAAACCCTACCCCAGCACTCTGCTAGAGACTCGCTTTCCATGTTCATAACTCCCACTCCACAGAACTGGACCAGCTCCATTTCACAAGATTACTGACTAGATTATTTAGTTTCTCAACTACGGATTAAAATCACTGGATTCAACATAGAGCCACAAGGCCAAATCTGCCTTGTGATCTGGCAATCAAAATAAGTCTACTGGCCAGCTCCTAATAGATTTCTGGCCAGGCATCCAGAAGAAATAGAAGCAAAGCAAAATTATAGCCTATACCAATACACACTAGAGGGGAGAAAGAGGTGTAATCATGGAATCACAAAATTTTCAGAGTTGGAAGGGACCTCTAGAGATCATCTAGTCCAACTCCCCTGCTAAAGCAGGATTGCCTAGAGCACATTACTCAGGACTGCATCCAGGCGGGTCTTGAAAATCTCCAGAGAAGGGGACTCCACAGCCTCCCTGGGCAGCCTGTGCCAGTGCTCTGTCACCCTAACCGTAAAGAAGTTTTTCTGTGTATTTGAACGGAACTTCCTATGTTCCAACTTGTGCCCATTGCCCCTCGTCCTGTCACTGGGAACCACTGAGAAGAGTCTGGCTCCATCCTCCATCCACCCACCCTTTAGATACTTGTATGCCATAAGGAGGTCTCCCCTCAGCCTTCTCTTCTCCAGGCTAAAGAGTCCCAGCTCTCTCAGCCTTTCCTCATAGGGAGATGCTCCAGTCCCTCAATAATCTTAGTTGCCCTTCGCTGGACTCGCTCCAGCAGTTCTCTGTCTCTCTTGAACTGGGGAGCCCAAAACTGGACACAGTATTCCAGTTGTGGCCTCACCAGTGCCGAGTAGAGGGGGAGAATGACCTCCCTCAACTTACTGGCCACACTCTTCCCTATGTAGCCCAGGTTTCCATTGGCCTTCCTGGTGACAAGGGCACATTGCTGGCTCATGGATAATTTACTATCTACCAGAACCCCCAGGTCCTTCTCCTCAGAACTGCTTTTTTCAACTGAAATGGTGTAGTCACTTCAACCATTCTTATGAGAAGTGAAGTTGGTTAAAGCACCTACATGCAGCTACATCCTCAGATGTCCAAGCAATTGCCAGTTTCTAACATTAATTGCCTTACTTTATATTCATGAGAAAATAAACTAGCAAGGAGGAGACATTCCACTTTGGTAAAATATATTTAAGACCCTTCCTGAAAAATCAACCCTTGAGAATGGAAATCAGGTAGATTTTATTTGGTTACAACACAACTTCCTGTACTGAGACACTGAGAATGAAAGTTCAGGGGGAGAGACGATCCATCCAAAATTATTCTGCCTTGCTGGAAGACTCACACACATGCAGTCTCACAAATATAAATGTCAAACAGCTTCTAGCTGTGATTTTCTTAGGTTTTGTTATCTGTAATTTGATTGAGAGATATTTTGAGACTTTTGCGCAACTCTTTATCAAGATTGCTTTGAAGCAGATTAGAAGGACAAACCTAACCTGTTCTCCCAGGAGGAAAAACTGGATCTTACAGTACCTCTTGCATGAAGTTCTGTGTCCTCTGAATCACAAAATCAATGTGATAGATCTTGAAGCGACTCTTGAGGTCTTGAAGGAGTTCCTGGAGGAGGTTCACTTTCATATAACAGGGCTCCATTTTCACAGAGTTAAATGGCAGGTTCATAAGCTGATCCACATTCTACATTCCAGTGGAGGAAGAACAGGTTTTGAGAGAAAGAAACCAGAGGTGAATTTTTAATAGAGAACGTAACAGTGGCCCTAAAACAAATTCTGATATCTACACTCTAGTTGCACAAATACTGCAAGACTCTTAATGACAAAACCTAGTGCTAACATACTACCACCTGGGAAAGCAAATACGGCTTGCCTTTGCGCTAATGTAAAAGGCTGCAGATATATTTTAGTCTTACCTCCTTCAGCTTCGTGATATCATTTGTCTTCTGGAAGTCCTGTATGATTTCATTAACTTCTTTATCAAAAAGTGAGCGGACTTCAGTGAATCCAGAACTCACCGGACCCATGAGCTCCTCCAATATGGATGCGAGAAATGGCTGGATATGTTCTATGCAGCACTTCTGGGCAGGCTCAGAAACAGTGGCTGGACAGACAATAAAACAGTTGCATTTAAGCTATTAAAAGATACAGTGAAAAAAGTAATCTGATCTACTTTACAATGAATTAAGTGCCTCTGTATTTTTCCCTGGAGTCACACCTCCGCAAAGATGATGAGGGTGATGAAAGAAGAGTTTATAGTTTTATGAGCGACAATGAAACATCTTTTCCCATGCCCCACCTAACCAAATGCCAGCAGCTTGGGGGCACTGTGAGGGCAGAGGAAAGGGCAGCTGTCAGTGTTGATGCACACAGGGATGTTCACACAGAGCGTGCCCACAGTGATTCTATAAGGAGTTATCCAAACTTGGTACTCTGTACTTCACTGAAAGCATCCTAGTCTGTTATGTGAGAATATCAACAGAACATCCTGACTTCTATCAAAACAGGTCCTAAATTATCAGCTTTTTATTTATTTCCTAGCTTAAGCAACATCAACTAATGTTTTGCCTACTTTTCACACTCATTTTTATATTCATAGCAAAATTATAATTATTTCACATTAGTTTAAAACTACTGAAGAAGCCCTTTGATTTAAGTATTCTTTGGTAGCCTATGAATTTGTCACATAACCAGAACCTGTTTTTGTGGAGCATTTCTAGACATCAGGTCAAAACCGCGACACTTACAGTTATGCTCATGTAATCACTATCTTCATTACATAAGGCTGTCCAAGTGAAAATGAAAGCAGAATGAGCAATTCTAACCAGGATACTCAAAACCTGTCAGCTCTAGATCCAACTTGAGAAGACCTGGTATTTTCACAGCCACAGCAGCCACAGGTACCAGTTTCCATCAAAGGCAGCAGAGGCTCAAAGCATTTGTTTTCTGAAAATTAGTGTCTCCGGTTGGATTTTTCAAAACACATGAGGATTTTAAAACAATGACATCTGGTAATTTGAGCAACATAATGGGAAACATTAAAAAAATTGCTCCACAACACAGCTGTTCCTCCACTAACCTTTGATTTTTCCAGCTAAGAAGCTCTTGGAGTTCAGAATCTGATCCATGTCTGAGCGAATGGTTCCTTCAAGAGTTTTTGCAAAATCTCTGCATTCTTCTTTCAAGGTATTTAATCCTTCTGACACCTGCTGCTGGACTAAGCCATAAGTTTCTTCTACGATCTAAACCCAAATTTAATTAAGAAGCATAGATGAGAATCAGCACACGCAGACAACTGCTATGAGAAACAACTACTCTGTAAATATCAGTACTTACACCAAACCAGGCCCGCTTCCTATCATTCCTCTTTCCTTTCATTTTAGGCAGGATCATTGTTTGAAGGTTAGGCAGGAGTTCCTCCATCACAAGGTTGCTCAGGATCTATATGGTCAGAAGATTGAAATGACATGTCCACACATTGTTTTTCATCTGAAAACTTGCATCACAGAGTGATGTGCAAACACAGGCAACCTCAAATATACAATGGCTTAGCTATCCCAGGTTTCCAGGAGGACTGGATTTAAAACATTAGGTATGCTTGAGGGAAGCTCCATACATTTTTTCTGAAGCATTTTTCACTGAAAGCCTTTGAGAGACCATGCAACAACTGACTACAGATGAACTAAGATGCCCAATAAAATTTGCTGCATGCTATTAGGAAATTGCCATGTGCAAATCAGTGGAGCTAAAATGATTGATATCAACTGAGCAACTCAACCAAAAACATTTGAAAACTTGGTTTGCTGACTGCTGCTTCCCCAAACTGACCTTGTTCTGAGACACTTACACTCTCCCAGAGGAGGTGTCATCGAGGAGAAAATTGTCCTAGAGAGTCATCAGACAGAGGATGTTTCTAATAGGAAGATAATTGGCAAAAAAGTAAATATATGACTGTACCAATGTAGATCTCTAGCACTTCTTCAGGTGAGCACCAACTTCACCATTAGAACAAGAAAAGAAGGGGATCCCAGGAAAAACAGGATTATAGGACAAAGTTCTATAGAATCCAGAAATACAGGTAATCTGTGAATCAAATAATTCTATTTTTCAACAATGTGTAACATGATCCAAAAGATTCATTAGCTCCAGACTAACCCTGAGGCAAAAGGGATGAAATAGCTGCTGGAGTTTGTGAAAAACTTTTCAAGCAATTTCTTTTGTCACTAAAAGACAACTATACTGGTCTAAATATAGTAAAACTTTCACATTGGAGAATTTATATATTTATCTACTTTAAAGTCTCCTCTCGATTCTTGAACAAAAACATACAGAATATATAACCTAAGAAGATATTCTGTGACAAAGGTGCACAACAGCAGAAAGGCAGGAGAAAGAAAAGTGTTAAAAGGACTCCTACACATCAAGCGTTCGTGATGGAATGTAGGAAAACTGAGGAAAAGCTATCATTGCCCTATTTTTTGATTATTTCTGTAAGTATGTTGTTGGTCTATCATTGCTCTATGTTTCTAAACTGACACTGAGTACTTTTCTCCCTCAAGAATGTTTTCACTCTGAAACAGGGTTCAGTGGTTGTAGAAGAGATGCATCACCCTCTCTGATCCAGGCATCTAGCTGGCAATTCAGTCTTGCAGATGGCTCCAATTAGAAAGAAAAGACATTGGACTGGGAATACAGATGATACCAATTTGGGGGAGTGGTCAATATGCTGGCAAGCAAGGGTGCTATTCAGAGGGACCTAGATGGGCTGAAGAAATGGGTGGACAAAAACCTCATGAATTTCAGCAAAAGCAAATGCACAGTCCAGCATCTGGGATGGAACAACCCCCTACACCAGTATAGGCTGGCAACAACTGGCTGGAAAGCAGTTTTGCAGAAAAGGCATCCTGGTAGACAAGAAATTCAACATCAGTCTGCAGGGTGCCCTTGCAGCAAAGGGCAACAGCACGTTGAGGGAGGAGAACGTTCCCCTCTATTCAGCATTTGTGAGACTGGAGCGGTGTCCAGTTTGGAGCTACCCAGAACAAGACAGATCTTGACACACTGTAGTGAGTGCAGCAGAGGCCACCACAATTATCGGGGGATGGAGCACATGACACCTGAGGAGAGGCAGAGAGAACTGGGTTTGCTCAGCTTTAAGAAGATAAGGCTCAGGGGAGACCTTATTGCTGTCTACAAATATATAATGGAGGATGTTGGGCAGACAGCCAGACTTTTCTTGGAAATGCACTGGGAAAGGAAGAAGGTGACGGTTACAAGTAGCAACAAGGGAAACAGTAATCGGGTATTAAGAAATATTTTTCACCATGAGGACAGTCATGGGAACAAGTCATGCAATCTCCAACCTTGGATATCTTCAGAACTCAACAGCATAAAGCCCCTAAAGTTGGCTTTGCTTTGAATGGGGGATTGGACCAGATAACCTCCAGAGATCCCCTTTTAACTAAACTGTTCTCTGGTTCTGTGGTTCTCTTGGTAGTGTCACCCAGCTTTGGACAGAAGAAGCATCAAAGTCTGGCTTTTTCAACACAGAAAGAATGAAACAGTGTGAGAGATTCCTGGTTTCATTCACTGGCACCCATTTCAGAAGTTTTCTTCAGAATTACACACTCGGGCCTTGCACCTCCTCTGCCTAGATTTGAACTACGACTTTTTCCTTGCCCATCCCACTCACATGCACCAAACCAGCAATAAATACAGAGAGTTACAGGCACTGATTATGAGAGTCTAGGCTTTCCTCTCCATTTTTTTATTTATGGACAGTGTACCTCTGGCCTGGGAAAGCTGCAAGACCTCTCTTTCTCCTGCACTTTCCTCTTGCTGTTGGCCAACAAGAAAAAACTATGCAAACAGAAGAAAGCAGTTCATCATGGGACTTGCCCTATTTCTATTTCTTTGTGATCTCAGGTCTCTGAACACGTTTCCTATGGAGGCATCTATCAGTGCTGGGGATATATGCTGGATTCTTGAATTTCTCTACTTGAAGCGTCACGATTTTGAACTAATGACCTCAGACCCATATTTGGTTCAGTCATTACTCATCTTCATGATTCAGAGGATGGAGGGATATCTTTTATTCCCGGACATGTTCTTTTTCTGTTCATAGATCTGGCCCAGGTACATTTGTACTGGCCTACAGTTACAGATGCACAGCTGCCAATTTATGATGACAGAAGAAATACTATTGTGTCTGTGCTATACAGAAAAGCACATAACCCTTTCACCAAGGCTTTTTATCTGTCCTGACTGTATGGCATATACAAGGTTGTCCACAGCCTCTTGAAAGCTTTGAAGTGCAGTGGCTATCCTGCAAATCACAGAGAGACATAGTAACCCTATAAAAAAGCAGACAAAATGCATTTTAAGGTTCTGTACATCTTTCATATACTCTGGCTAAAGGATTACCAGCTTGCTCAACAGTTTCAGTGAAGTCTCACAGACAAAGTATGTAAGTCTTCCTTCCTCTCCAGTGGGGTTTGAACAGAGTTTTTGCTAAGTGATACGTATTTCAGCCCAGCTCTTTTCCTTGCCCAGCGCAGTCCTCATACAAGGATCTCTGCCTCGATGCACCCAGCTGCTGGCTGAGACAATACAGAGTGTAAAAACACCACTCCACTTTACATTTACATCATGCCAGTGCTTTTTCATTCGTGTCAGTGCTTCCTGACATTCAACTTCATGTATTACAGCTGCCTGAGCCTGTTTTAGGCATGCAGCAACACCACGATAGGGAAATGGCAGGAATGTAGACAGCAAAAGTAAGAAAGGACTCTGACTGCATGCCATGTAGTGTAAACTGAGTACCTCCTGGGCATAAGACAGCCCCTACAGAAATATAACACACAATGCCCTACTTATTAATATACCTGTAATATACCTATAATATGCAATACCCTATTATTGTTGTTTCATATAACTTAAATTCTTATAGGTTATGCCACAGCACCACTCAAATTTAGCTATGCTGACTCAAATACCTGTCAAAACCAATGGACTAATTCAGGTCCTAAACTAATGAGTCACTTAAAAATATCTCACAAATAACCCAAACTGGAGCACTACAGAATCAAATAATAAATGCGACAAACATATTCTGAAGAATCTGAGCTCTCTGGAAACAATTTTAAGAATGTTAGATTGTCTTTATATTTCTGTACTGAAAGATGCACTGCAGGGATTTGGGGTTTTTTTAATCCCTTATTCAGCTATCCTTGATTTACCAATACGTTATTTCTACATTAATGTAGTACTGATCAATGGAGTTATGCTAGTTTAACATTGGTGTGTTGTAGCACTCTCACTATGAGGCTGTACTGTTGCTTATAACAAGCGTCAGAGATTTCCTGGTTTTAACCCTGTATTACCTACACTTTTTAACTCTGCACTTACCTACAGAAACACCATCTACAACTGAATTTATCCTTTGTTTGTAACAAAACATTAAAAATGAAAAAGAACAAAAACAAAACCAGGAAAAGGAACTTTCACGACACAAAAAGAAAAATTAGTAGTTCTTCAGCCGAGCGACTGGGTACTTGCTAATATTATATCCATGTTGCAGTACCTAGGCAGAACTGTGTGAGCTAATGTTGCAGAGACTCTGGTATTAGAAATAAATGAATGTCAGGGAATATATTTATTGGCATTCTGCAGAGATTTTTACAGCAATAAATTGTAGCTTGCTTGTTCCAAACTATTCACTTAGCTTGGATATTTGCCTAAAATAATTATTATATTTGGTCAAAGCCGGCATGAGAACACACTATACTTACAGAATGAATTATTACTAAGAGGATAATAGTGTAACTAGTCTGGATGTCTTCTGATTACAGTTCTCTTGAGGTATATGGGTTATGAGTAAGTAGTTGGCAAGCAATGGGAAAAATAAAACTTAAAATGAAACTAGCACTATAATAGCTCCGTAACTTGAGGGAGGAGGGGAGAAGAGAAAAACCCTCACTCCGTCCACTGGAAGGATGGGACTCCTTATACTAAGGAATTTATTATCAGATATTAGCAGAAAACTTCAGCCCCTGACATGATGGCACTGGGAAAGACACTGTTTATAGATTTTGCTCCAGTTTCCACATTTTTCAGCATTTCAAAGGTAGGCTTCTCCTAAAAGAATAATCGGGTTTCTTAAAACAAAACCCTGGATTGTGAACTCTCCATCAGGCTTTTTTCCATTTCCCCAAAGGGAAAACAGATATCATCAAGGAAAACACCCAGCAGCTGGTACTAAAGTAAATATTTGCTGCTGAGCGCTCAGTGCTTTGGAAAAAAATTATAAATCGGGGCCCAAATAATGTCTCAATTGCACTAAAAGACATCTGGAGTGGTGCCAGAGGGATCAGTGGAGTTACTTCAGCTACCATCAGCGCTCCCAAGCTGCTCACTAAGGTCCCCAAATATGGACCCAGACCCTGAGCTTAGCATCTCATTTCTGAAGAAATGAAGTACACAAATTTTTGGTGTTTCAGTGTGATGTTACTCTGCAAGACTCTGTTTCAGAAGTCTGGCATAGTAAGTACATCTACTAGTTTATCTGCTCAGACTAACAGCTTCACTCCCAAAGAACAGGGAAAAGCAAAATGAAGCGATACTTCAAAATTTATGTTTAGATGCTGTTCTGTTCTTTGTAAGGCCTGATCTCCTACAATGGCATCCGGAAGCATTAGAGAACAAGAAATGGAAAACTGTTGTGTTTAGTAACAAAGGTAATAGCAACAGAACTAAAAAATATCTCTTATGTGCAAAATAGCTGCCGTGAAAGACAGAAAAACAGAGCATGGCCCAATGCAGCTGACAGTGAGTCTCTGCTGCATACAAACTATGGGTTCTGAGTTTGGTGCATATTGGTTTTGGTCTCACTGATTTACCAAAACTATAACCAGCAGCAAATGTGGTAGTGAGATATTAGCAACTGCCTTGTTTTAGACACAGCATTTATTCACCAATTGACCCTTTGGCATAAAATTAAAGTAGATGTATCAGCCTTTCGTGGAAATGTGTCTATCCCTACATTCCAGCACAACACAACAACTTCAGTTCATAGTACATTTTCTTTCACTTTTTAGTAAAAAACTCAAAATGGCATTTATTAAAAAAGAAATGTCACCTATGTATCTGTAAGAAGTATCTTGAAATCTTGGTTATTTCTGCATACTAGATTTTCTTTTTAAAAATGCCATTTTTTTCCCAAGAGGCTTTACAACCTTCACTGTCCTCAGAGCTGCCATATCCAAAGCAAAGGAAGATATTTTCTTACCTCTTTTTCATTTCCGGTTATCATTTCCCATGTCCCATAGTGGCCTTTCTCCTGCCGGAAGAACTGAATGGCTTCTAAGAACGCCTCAACTTCATAAGTGGTCTGCGAGAAAATCTAAGGAAAAAAAAAAAAGTAACACAAAAGATTTACCCATAAATAACCTTTAAAAAAATAACTATCCTTCTTTGATGCATTTTCCTGTTCCATGTGCACCCAGCAGCAACATTTTAAAATCATTCACTAAACCTGAATATCTGAAGATCTTGGGCTTTCATTAAGATTTAGAAGCGTAATGTTAACTACCGCATTGCACGCATGAACTATCACAAGCCAACCTATCTAAGCTGATAAGTTAAACCAACGCCAGCAAGTGTTAACAGTGAGCACATGACAAGTAAGAGTTTTACGGCAGCAAGCATTGTCTGTGGTATACTTTGACAAGGCACTCATTAACACAGGAAAGCTCATCCCTCACCCTTGTACCTATAAGCAATGTAAGGAGGTACATGGGAAGACTGACAACATGTACCAGGACCAAGAGTAGGGTAGGGAGGTTATACTTCTTTAATTTAAGATAAGATTAAGAACTTAAGATACTGATAGTCAGCTGATTGTAGCACGTTGTACACCCTTGATAAATTGCTGAACTTTGAGTTAATGGTCCCCAATAATCTTTTCTTTCCTTTCTTTTGTTAAGGAATTGATGATCAACATGATTTTTCATGAACATACAATAAAAACGACCCAGACAAAGTAAGCACCATGCTCATACCAATTAAACACAAAAACTTCTGACAAAATTGTGCTGCTTTCCCTAAATATTTCAGGAATGTTTAACCACAGCTCCAGAGTATCTGGTTATCATCCACAGCTACTGCTGCTAGATGGTAGCTCTTCCCAAGAACAATGCAGGAGCCTGGAGACACTGGGGTACAAATGAGACCACAGCATGAAAAAACCCGAGAAGTGGCTGAGCTAGTTTGTTCTTATAAACTCCGGATAACCAGTCATGCAACAGAAATTACATTTCAGGCAATTTATTCTTCCCAAACGGCTAAAGGCTTTCAAGATAGTTGCAGCCAACAGTCTTCTTCACATGAGAGTGCACAAAAACACAGCTAATTAAGACTGTAACAGCAGTCATACAGCAGAACTAGTTTGTCATGATTTGGGGAGAAACAGTCCCTCTGCCTCAAAATGTGGAAAAGCTCCCTACGGCAATTAGGCTGCTTGACAAACCTGAGTAAGAATTTTGGGCTGAAAAAACACTGCTGAAATACTGCAGGAATTTAAGTGCTGTGTCTTTGCTATGAAACAGAGCTTCAGGATTATTGTGAGGATTATTATTTTAAGGGGAAAAAAAAGCTGCAATGGTTTATTGTCCCCTCTTCAAGGTTATCTACTTGCAGCCTTGATCAGCTGAAGTCCTGTTGTGCACGTGTTTGGAAGAAAGGAGGGAAAAAGAATGGTGATTCTCTCAAAGGTAAGTATACTCCTTTAAAAGATACTGGTATGTATAAACAATTGTTATGTGAAGCATCAGAGACTAAATTCTCAAGCCTTGTGTGTCAAGCAAGACAATTCTTTCAACTTGTTAATGAAACTTCTAAAGAGAGAAGCTTTATAGGAGGCTTGCATACATGCCGAGGGCAATAGAGGGATTATGCAAATTATGGGAAGCACAGAGGATTAACACTGCAGTAATGCCTGAAATGTCTCCTCCATGTGCTTTACACAAAAAGGAAAGCTACAGAAACCTACAATTAATTTCATCAAGGCTTCACCCTGGCTACTGCTTGAAAACAGAACTGTATAGGTTTTATCTACATGGCAGGCAATGAGGTTTCAGATCTGCTAAGAGCCCACGTGTCAGAATTTGCCCTTTCAGAGTTTCCCCTGGACATAATAATTACTTCAGGAAAGCATGTTACACATACTGAGGTGCAGGAAACACACTCTCAGTGCCACTCTATGGATACCATCCCTGTTTTGCAGATATTTAGAAGTCCAGTAAGATCACACAATTTCTTCAAGTTCACACAATGATCAAATGAGCCAGATAAAATCCCAACCGTTCCTTCACTGCTACCTCCACGATTTATAGCATTTTTAATAGCAAGTCACAACAGGATGCTAAAATATCACTAAAAGAGTTGCAAGTCAGGCTGTTCACTGCCAAGAGAAGATCCTCTGATGGCAACTTTAATGAAAGAATGGAGAAACTGCTGGAGCATTGCATCTGAAAGCTTTTGTCCTCCCAAAACTAAACTTGAATTTTTTGACAAGAAGAAGGCCAGGCTTGGCTGGGGGAAGGGAGAACTGCAGCTCCCACAGCCCTCTGATCGTGACTCACATGTTTTCCTTCTTCACAGCTGTGCTCCCTCCTAACCAAAAGGGACAACAGACCATCCAAAGGGCTGGATCTTGGACCTGCTGAAATGATGATGAGCCAGTGCTGTCAAGAGTCTCCTTTCTAAGATCATCAAGTTTTAAACTCCATGCTCAAGGGAGTATTTTCTCTCTGTTCTGACTGTCCCTAACCCCACAGAGAAGAGCAATTCATTTGAATAGTTCATGGGAAAAACATCATGCTATAAGTACCATAACATCCCAATCATTCATTCTTTCCTATGCTAGTAAACACAAAGAACAACACAAGTATGGCAGTGTTACTATAAAAACAGCTCAAAGTAGAAAGGAAGCTTTATCCTTCAAGGCTACTGCCATTGCTTAATTTAGGCAATTTTATTCTCACTTCCCATAGGAGGAAAATATTGCATCAGCGATAAGGCACTGAACAACTAGATCCATCCAGCGTTGGGCTGTGCAGAAGCTGTTAGTGAGGCACACAAGACAGAGGAACATTCATGGGATACGGCTCAAGAAAAGGGAATTGTACCCAAGCTGAAAGGAGCTGCGGTGCACATCCTCCAAGATGGGAAGCGCCAGGGCTTCTGTAAATCAGACCTAGCAGTTTATGAAAAGGCTAGAGTACTGCGGCAGGCTTGGCAGTCATCTCCATTATGCCATAGCGAAGCAAGGAAAACAATGAATAAGCTGTTGGGGTAGCCCTGCTTGCGTGCAAGAGAGAGGATGATGCGTGGGAGATGGAAGCAGACGCTGCAGCTGCAAACAGGGCAGGTGGTAAACCCCAGTGGTATCAGGAACGATTGTTCATCAGCCGAAAGGACAACATGTTCTTCACGCTCCTGAAAGCCCTCACAAGGGCTTCCCCTAAAACAGCTCTGGCTAGCACCTATCACGAGTGATGCATCTGTGCCCGCTGTTTGTAGAAAGTGGAGCATGTTAGGGGAGCTTGGTGCAGTGGTGGTTGTAGGTCATCCTCATCCAACTCCCATACAAAGTCATAAAGTTTACTGAAAGTCCTCCAGCAAAGGGCTGGTGCGGCTTTACAGGTACCCAGACTGATGCTACGTGCTTAATCCAGGCTGGTCTTCACTTGGAAAATTATCCAAGCAGCTTCTCCACCTGCTAATGAATACAATGTCAGCTTATTTGTGGAGAGCAGAACACAATTCTGTCTGTTCTGTTTAATTTCAAAATAAGAAAACCCACCTAGAGACTCCATCTTTACATATCCAAGTGTGGAGCCTAATTTTAATAACAGATAAAATATTTCTAACCATAGATTCCTTTTATAAATATAACAGAATAACTGCTATAAAGGTCCTTTTAAAAAGATGGAAGGACATCTGGAAACACCATGACTTCATAAATCTCCCCAAATTTGCACATCTTTCAGAGGCACAGCTGAGTTTGTTCAGTACTGCAGAAAGCTGTCTATAAGAATGAGCTTCCTTGCAGTGTATAAACAGTTTAAATCCCTCTTAAAAAAATATATATATCTCAAACCTTAACTCATCAAAATGATACACAGAGCACCAGGCTACTTGACACCCACTGAATGGACTTGCATCTGGTACAGAAGTGTTAACTTATGAGGATCCCTTTCCTAATTTCAGCTGTATCTGATGTTTTGGCTGCTTGTCTTGACTTGCAGTCTCCAAACGAGGTGCTCCGGGCTATGAGCTGTGGCTTCCACTCTGTCACTTGGCAGATAAATGTTTGGTCATATATGTGAGTAACGAGGAAATCTTCAGTCCCAAGTTCCTACATGCTCTCCCATCCACGGCAGGACAGCTGCACCTTTGTTTGAAGATGGACGTGTCGCTGGGACATTGTTTAAAAGCCCCTCAGGAAAGGCTATCTTAACAATTTTTTTTACTTGCTAACACTTCTTGTATGTGTCTAAAGACAGCAGTGGCAATTAATTGTCCTGGTGAATTCAGTCTCCTCCATAGCCATAGATCGACCAGTCCTAAATCAGTCAAAATACTGAAGAACTCTATGCAAAAACTGCTATAAATAGGCCTCGTTACCAGAGAGGATAAGTGCTGGAGACATCACTGCCTCTAGCTAAAATTGTGGATTTTCAGCAAATCCAGAAAAAATGAAATCTGTATTCGAACATTCAAGTTCAAATTTTGTATCTGTATGTAGTGCAGACTGCTGCATTGGGTCTCTTGCTGTGCTTTGTGGCAGAATGCTCAAAACCAGCTGATGTTTAACCACTTAGATGATGATTTTTCTTAATTATGATCACAGGAAGACACCTCTTTAACATTACACATCCTAACCTGCCACACTAGCTGTTAAAAAGTATTTCAATATCCAGTTTGAACTGTGTCCCGCTCTGAACAATAATTGCCATTAATAAAGCTATTCAAACTCATTATTGCAGCATGAAAGAGGCTAAAATGGTTCTCA